AAAAGCCCTTTGGTCTAGCAATTCTACTTTAGGAATTTATGCTAAAAAATAATTAGATATTTGGCAATGAGAACAATGCTCTTTTATAACAACAGTCAACTGATACCATAATCCATCTTATTGGAATTAAGAAGATACTTAAAAGAAAATGTTGATATAAATCTATTGATGCACAAAATGTATGTTACATATTAAATGGGAAAAATGTGGACATATATTTTACAATTGCATTTTTTTTTAAAAAGAAAAATATGCAAAGAAAATCTGGAAGGGTATAAAATAGTAGTAGTTATTTCTGGGTAGTATATTATCAGGTTATTTTACTATTTTTTAATCTTATTTCTGCTTGTTTGTATTTTCTAATTTTCCTACAAAAATACACATTAAATATGTAATAGAAGAAAATTATAAAATACTTAGCAAATATATTGGTTTTAATTATTATGGCTGTGATTAGAATCGAAATTAAAGCAGCTTGTCCTCTATTCACATTTTATCTTGGATCCTATGTTTATGAATTGGATTTCAGATATTTCCCCTTTTGAAAATTATTGTTTTGACCACTTGGAGTGAACAAAAACATTTAAGAAAGAATTAAATAGAAAAGACATCCATTGAGCTCTATATTCATAATACGGTATGTTACGTGTATCAGACTGGACCCTCCAATACTCAGACTACAACTAGCTTTTTCACTTATTGGCAGTGTGACCTTGGATAAGTGGCTGAAGCTTCTGATGGCTCATATTCCTTCCTCATCTAGAAAACAGGGATGAAATTATCCAACATGCTTACCTCATGGGCCTGTTTACACGGTTCTTATGTTTTTAGAGACATTACTTTCAAAGTAAATACATCTCAAAATCTGGGCAGAGCAGCTCTTCATCTGCCCAAACAGCACGTTCCTGATATTAATAGTCCAAAATGGATTTAAATGTTGAAGAGTCATCCAGGATTCTACTTCCCTGTGGCCTGCTGAGTCTCTGAGAAGCTTGGGCAGTAGAATGGGTAAGATAAAATGAAATAAAAGGTTTGCACGTACTAACATAGTTTTCCCTCTTATATTTCTAAAGATGCTGAATGCTTATGCAGAGTTTAGGCAAACACAATGCTGATTATTTACATGGCATGATGGAAGTAAACACTCAAGGAGAAGGGAACTGGATGCTTTTACTCAGCATGATATAAACCATTATCTCATGTTTTCTATGGAAAACAGTCTCAGCCAAGAAATTTGGTAACTCAGTAGGCTATTAATAGGATGTGGAATGTGATTATTCCTTTTAGATTACTTCAAATATGTAATTACTTTTAGGAACTAGTAGAAAGAAACTCTATTAAATGATAATTATAGGACTGTATTTGCTTTAAGGTTCTGCAATAGCTCTAAGCATAGGGGTTTTCATTAACTGTTTGCCATAGTTAATAAAGTCATTTTTCTTAAAAAGCAGCAATTTCCTGCAGAAGTGGTAACTCAACAGTTGGAGTGGTCTTTTACAGGGGAGGCCACGGGAGATGCATTGTGCAGTAGGTTGGCTTACCCACGGTAATATAATCTCCTTGAAAATATAGATAACATCCCCGAAGTAGTGTGACAAAGTAAAACAATCGTAACTCCCAAGAGAACAATAAGTATTCATATAATATTTTCAGAGGTTAATAGCAACTAAATATTATTGCACATATAAAAAGCAAAAAGACAAGGCAGGTGACAGAAGCAGAGTTGGCACGGTAAGAAAAGCCTAGAAAAGTCTGCTGTTTGCAGGATGTGTAACACGATGGACAGGATGTTGCTGGTAATATACCCAAGGGTTAGACCTCAAATGCAAGTGGGGGATGATATCAAAATGCAGATAAGGGTCTGACCTCAAATATTTGAGAAAACAGATAATAAAAAGAAGTGGTTGCCAACAGAGGATGGAGGAGAGTCAAGGAATAGGAGGAGATGGAATGTGTGGCTAATTGCCTCCATGAACAACTGCCTCCTTTGCCATGAGACCAGAAGAACTAGATGGTGCCCAGCTACCATTACTGAACATTTTGATCTATAGAAGATTCTACAGAAGAATCTTGATCAAAAGGGGGAAAATGCAGAACAGAATTTCAAATACTCTTGGACTCTAGATTCTCTGGAGCCACGGGGGCTGGAAGAACCCCTGAAACTATTGCCCTGAGATAATCTTTAAAACTTAAACCAAAAATATCCCCTGAAGACTTCTTAAAACCAAACAGTAGTTTAGCTTAACTAGTAAAAAAAAAAAAGGTCTGCCTTGAGCATTATGTTCTTTAAAGAACTATCTATGGGGGATCAAAGTGACAACATCAACAAAAGATTAGATAGGAAGCTTAGGGGGCAGTGAGTATGCTAATGGGGGAGGAACAACTCAGAAAAGGAGGGTGAGAATGGTTGCACAACTCGAAGCGTGTAATCAATATCACTGCATTGTATATGTAGAAATGGTTGAACTGGTGTATGCTTTGCTAGTATATTCTCAACAACAACAAAAGAAGTGGTTGCATAAAAAAACAAAACCAAACCAGTTGCTATGGCGTTGACTCTGAATCATGGCAATTCTCATGCACATCAGAGTAGAACTGTGCTCCATAGGGTTTTCAGGGGCAGAATTTTTGGAAGTAGATCGGAAGTAGGCCTTTCTACCGAGGTGTTTCCAGTGGACTTGAACCTCCAACCTTTCAGTTAGCAGCTGAGTGCATTAACCATTTGCACCACCCTAGGATGTACAGTAGGTATCCCTCCATCCAAAGAATACCAGCGTTTTCTGGACAACTGAGTAAAACATCTGACTACTGATAAAACTACATACACACTGAAATGCATTGTTTTGAGTATCTTCTTCCTCAAAAATTGACATAAGCCTAGACTGAAACAGTATAGCAGTTTATCAACCCAGGGTGGGATCTGAGACTAATAAGGGAACTGAGAAAATTCAAAGAATGGAAGCAGGGATTCTCATTAACTCAAAGATATGCACGCATCTTAGAAAGTATTATGAGAAAATCTTACATGTTGCCTTCCTCAATTCAGCTCGGTAAACATTTATTAAATGTCCACTATACATCGGGGTCACCCTGATTTGGGGAAACATGTCTTTACAAAAGGAAATTCCTGTATTACACACAGGTACAACCAGAGGTATATGTGCACCTAGTTGGGAACTACTCATCTACCTTAAAAAACCCGTTGCGTCAATTCCAACTTACAACAACCCTATAGGACAGGGTAGAACTGCCCCACAAGGTTTCCAATGAGCAGCTGGTGGATTCAAACTGCTGACCTTTTGGTGAGCAGCTGTAGCTCTTAACCACGGCACCACCAGGGCTCTGCCTTGGTGCTCTGCAAATTTCTCTCTTTAAGGGGCTTGAGGTTTTCACATGTACACATTAACCAAAGTCATCAGGTAAACAAAAACTCCTAGCTAAATATAAACTTAAAGAACTTCAAGTAATTTTACCTATTCCAGAATGATGTGACTCATTTACAAAATGAATCAGGGGTTGTTTTGTAGGGTTCCTTTAAAATGCAAGGGGCCCTGGTTGTCTCTGATATAACTTCCTTCACATCCAGGCTCTCAAGAGCATCTCCACTGCATAAAGCAAGGCATTGGGAAAGAAAGTCCTTGTCACAGCACCTAAGACATTTGAATCCACCGTCTCATTTGGTTTATGCTTGATTTATAAGATCCATAATACTCAAATCAGTTCAAGAAATAATAAAAAAAGTATATCAGGTCATATCTCCCTCCATACAAGTGGCATGGGTAACACGTCTTTGCTTTAATCATCAACCCAGTAGGGTGCAGTGGTTAAGGCTGTAGTCCCTGGCCTCTGAGTGCCTGGGTTTAAACCCTAGCTCTCTTATTTGGCTGTTGGACTTTGGGGAAGTTACTTAGTGGATCTGGGCTTCATTCTCCTCATCTCACAGTGTTGCTGAGAAAATTGAATGGATTGAGTAAGGGAAGGACCTTGTGATGGTGTTTGAACATACCTACTGCTAATCATGGTCTTGATGAGAGTTACAATAGCGGTGGTGTGGGTAATAATACTTGTTGGGTTAGCTTAAGATCCTAAGACCCTGACCTCAGTCACTGGGAAAGCAATCAACCTGTAACATAGTTCGTGCATAGCACGGTGTTAATGAAAACATATATACTCAGGAGGACCAGCTTTTATCGCCATGTGAAATGATAGCATTTGTCTCCTGTTTTCACAGACCTGCACTGTCACAGATTTATAGGAACAGCTCCACTAAGAAGTAAGCTACAGAGCAAAACACTCTGGCTGGGAGTTACGAAACTCATTTTTGTCCCTAGTTCTGCCACTAATTTGATCACCGGACTTCATCAGTCTGGGCCTATACATAAGAACAACTATGTCTAATCCTCTACAAGTCTAGAACCAACCTGACCGACCAAATGAGAAGCAGAACTCACAATAAATTTTGCAGTGTTTACAGTGCACAAACAATGCTTTGATTTGCTCCCTTCAGGCAACAATCCTGCAACCACCTTTAGGTATCAAGCTCTGTCCCCAACCACACTGCATTACAACTGTGCTTGGAAGGGGAGGCCAGCCGAAAGATTACACTGCATTATGAAGTTGAACTAATCTCTTTTAATGCTTTACTTGATATCAATATTCATAAAGTCATGCTCTCCCCCAAGGGTTTATCAGTCTCTTAAAATAAATAAATAAATAAATGAAGTTGTTTGCATATTGACTCTATAAGCTTCCCCACTTGGTTTTCCCACTGCTTCATGAATATCAAAGCCAATAAAAAAATGTAGACTAGAATTAGACTCATTTTTTCATATGCACCAAGTGAGCCCATGTCTCAAAATAGAGGTGGCACTATTGTTTCTTGTTTGTTCTTCAACAGAAAGTCATTATTAAGATTAGTGAAAATATTTGTGCTCTGCAATATAAAAGCCATTTGTTTTCCATTTCTACTTCTCTGAATGCATTGGAACCTTGGTACGAACCTCTGTTGTCTCTGACTGTGAAATTTGGGTTGTGAATGATTTCAGGGGGTAGGCTGAAGATAAATCTTGGTCCATTGGCTGTGTCATCCTTGTCATCTGCACTAATTGTAACAAGTGGCTGAAAGAGAAAGGTGGCCCATGAATAAATCATGCTGATATTGGCACATCACTTATTCAAAAATTCCTGGCTGGCTAAAAAGCCAATTTGAATTACAGAACACAGCTCCAGAGCAAAACGAGGGCTCTGAGACACTCTTGAACGCTGGGAGGTACCTGCAGGTGATGCTTTCAGAAATAAACTCTGTTTCTAAATTCATTGCTCATAGCCAGGGAGGAGGGTGTTACCTGGTTGGAAAGCGGCTTGGTCTGATCGCTCTCACAGATGAAGCCTTCATAAGGGGCTGCAAACTTGGGAGCATTATCGTTGACATCAAGGACCCTAATGGCCACGGGGACTTTGGCTTCCTGATGGTGGTTGTCTGGAAGGAGAAAATTCATCAGACAGTCAAAGCCAGGGAGGAATGCCCATTGATCTTTGGGAAGGTGGAAGCTCTAGCTGCCCAGTTGAGCAGGACAGGGAAAAGCATTGTTGGTACAAAAACCACCTAAAATCTGAAGTGAGCTAGGTCTGTTGTGAGGGGGCTGTCCTGGAATAAATGCAAGAATTAGACCAGTAAGCACTAAACCAGGGGCAGTGGTGGTTCAGCGGCAGAATTCTCGCCTTCGATGTGGGAGACCCAGGTTTGATTCCCAGCCAATGCACCTCATGTGTGCCCACAACCCATCTGTCGGTGGAGGCTTGTATGTTGTTGCTATGATGCTGAACAGGTTTCATTGGAGCTTCCAGACTAAGACTGACTGACGAGCGACTTCCAAAACTCAGCCAGTGAAAACCCTATGGATCACAATGGTCCGATCTCATTGTGCATGGGGTCCTCATGAGTTGGGGGCTAACTCAACGGCAGCTAACAACAACGAGAACTAAAGCCACTTTTCCATTTCTGCTGACTTGGAAGCTGAGGTTTAATTCTAAAGCCTCATAATGGAACCTGCCCCCGAGCACAGTCTGTAGCAGCATCAGAATCACCGGGGAACTTTCATACAAATTTCTGGTCCTGATCCCAGACCTACTAAATCAGAGCCTCTGGGGGTGGGGCCCAGACATCTGTGTTATGGCAAGCCCTCCATGAGATTGCAATGCACAATCAAGCTTGAGAATCACTGCGCTGTAAATAAGCAAGAACCCACAAATCTTCGTTCTAAGGATTCTGCTGCTTCCCGTTTAATACAATGGAGTGATGACGGCTAGGGTAGAGTGGGGAGCCCTTCTGTGACAGCTACAGGGTTTCAAACTGCTGAGGGTTATCAGCTGTCTTTCCAAATCAGTTCCGCTAGAGAAAATGAAAGCATCTCTATTTGTCTATATGTTTTCCTAAGTAGATGACTAAAAATAATTATTTTGGCCTGAAAAATCTTCTTAGTGACTAAAAAAAAAAATCTATCTCAGCTGTCTGGCACTTTCCAGTGAAACCTGTGAGAGCTGGAACTCGACAGGATGGCCTGGTTTTTCTGGGTCTCGTTAAGTTTTCTGCCTTTGACAGGGCGCATTCACCACTTTTCTATCACTCTCTGTTTAGCGGGAAATATTTCAGTGTTCCTTCTCTGACAGGTTTCCACTGTATATGTATATAGTTATATATAGTTATATATATATAACTGTATGACTATATATATAAAACCCCATCACTGTCCAGTCGATTTCAACTCGTAGTGACCCTATAGGACAGAGCAGAACTGCCCCATAGGGTTTCCAAGGAGTGGATGGTGGATTCAAACTGCCGGCCCTTTGGTTGGCAGCTGAGCTCTTAACCACTGCACCACCAGGGCTCCTTATCTTTCTCTCTCTCTCTCTCCATCTGTCTATATAGTTGGAAGGAATAATAGTTGGTGAAGTAGAATTAAAATCCTTAGGAGAATACTTACGGATTTCTGCTGCAAAGACAGAGATGTTGAGCCAGGCAGTTTCCTCTCTATCCAGAGGTTTCGTAGTTTTAATAAAACCATCCTCTGGATTAATACTGAAAAACCTGTCGAGGTCAGTATGACGATCGATTGTATATCTAAGCAGAATGCAAATGAGGCAATTAGACTGAGACATTGGAAGCAGCTTAATATTTGAATATTTTTTCCATGCTATATTTAAAGCAACTTTTCAATGAATCACTTGAGGTGGAGTTTTTTTTTTTTTAATCAAATTTACTTTTCGAACTTCTAACTGAGTCTTTTATAGAAGTCATTTTACCACATTGGAATTCTTTATTCAGTACCATGAATGAAAGAACTGTTTAGCATATTTGATTGAGAAGTGTAATAAGAGTTGCATATTTCTCCATATTTACTACAATCACCCGTCACGTGAATATTTACGAAGTTGCATTTGAGAAGTGGGTTTACCTTGCTCCTAACTACTCAAAAAGTCACATATGTATCAAACCTTTGCCAGATTTTTGCATATGAAATGTTAAAGAGTTTCAAGTTTATCTAACTTTATCATCAAGAATCTTTTACGGCCGGAAGAATCAGTTTTCTTCTTATTGAAAGAAACATGCTAACTATATTTTGAGGGAATACTATGTAATTCTAGGGGTTTTCAGGTAGGGAGGTTCGGAATTCCAGGGTGCGATATGCAAAGCAGGCTGGCCATTCGTTTACATGTCACTCTCCCCACCCCTTAATGATCTGGGGCTGTGCCAAACAGCAGAGCTGCAAGGTTTTAGCTGCTCTTGTCCATCAGGAAGCTTGATTTTTTTCCTAATAATGACAAAAATTTCCGGAATATTTTTGGGGTGTATTTATGGCAAGCTGAGGAGGGAGATGGGAGAAAAGAATGATATACACTGAGGTACAGAAAGGTAAAATAACTTGTCTAGGGTACCCAGAGAGCTGGTAAAAACTGGAACCCTGGCTTTTACGGGTCTCTTCAACTCCAACCATACTAACTCCAGGGAGTCCCTGGGTGGTGAAAATGGTTAAGCACTGGGCTACTAACTGAAAGGCTGGCAGTCCAAACCCACCCAGAGGTGCCTTGGAAGAAAAGTATGGTGATCTACTTCCAAAATATCACAGCCATTGAAGACCCTGTGGAGCACAGTTCTACACAAGAAGATGCCATGAATTGGAACTGATTCAATGGTGAATGGTTTTGGTTTTTGTTTGTTTGTTTTAAATATACTAACTCCTAAAGGAAGAAGAACAAAGATAGGTCATGTTCACTCAGTAGCATGTTGCGCTTCATAATTGAGTGGTTACCTGTTCTTAGGGAGCTGAGCTGTGTTTTCATAGAATTTACAGAATACATATGTCTGAAGGTGTTCATTGAGGGTCACAGACTCAAAAATACTAGAGGTAGGAAAGACCATGAATATGCCATGGTGTTTAACCTCTTTGATTTACAAACGGTGGGATTCGCAAATGGTCCACACCTAGTTCCTGGGGAGCCAATTTCAGAACCCAGATCTTCCAGCTCGAGATCATGTTCCTTGCAGGAGTGAGGGACTGCCCAGAGAGCCACCCAGCACTTCACAGCATATAGAACGTGAGCTCACCTCCGATCTCACTTGATTTCACAGATCCCTGTGGGGATGGAATGACGAGTCCCCCTCCCCAGTGAGGAAATTGAGGACAAACAGTCACACACCTCTTAAATGTCAGAGTAGGGGCTCAGTAACTGAGCCCTAAGCAAAGAGCCCTATGTGGAAAGGAGGCAAAAAATAATAGAAGATTGTGTTCCTGCCATCGGAGAGTTTACTACTTGGTTGACATCATAAGCAAACACAAGAAGAAAGATAAGTGATAATTCAAGGCATTATTCTACAGAAGTTGAGGGCACAGATTTTGGTTTTGGAAATACCTAGGTACATGGTCATGCTCTATTACACAGAAGTCGAGTGATTCTGAAAAAGCCACTTAAACTCTTTGAACCTCAGTATTTATCTTTTACATTTGAATACTAATAGTACCAAATTTGGGGTTATCTGTGAGAATTAAATGAAAGAACAGATGTATGAAACATATAACCTAGTGCCTGGCACAATACATAATAGCTGCTATTATTTTCTTTTTGTGGCTGTTGCCGCTGCTGCTGTTCCACTCTGAGAAATGATCATGAAAACTCTCAAATGTCAATCTACAGAGTGTGACCTTTATCCTGTAGCCAGCGAGAAATCATGAAAGGCTTTAGAGAAGAGGAACAAATAAATGGAATCAGGCTATCAGGGCAATTAATATGGTGGAGTGGACAGGATGGTCCAAGCAAGAAAGAGTAAAGGAAGGAGCAGAGGAAATGTAAGGATTTGATGCAATTTTTAAGACATGAGTTGATGAGGTGTAGGGTGACAGAGGGAATGGGCAACTATGTGATGAAAAAAGCACCAAAAGGATTTGATGGATACTTGAACATCTGTGGGAGGCCGGGAGAATCTTAGTTTTTAGACTGAGTGTCTTAGAGAGGGAGATATTGAGAGATACATAAAGAAGGTCAATATAGCATGAAGGAGAGATTGGAATACAACTAGGGATATGCTCCATGCTAACAGAACAAAGACTCAACTGGATTTTAGATTTCATAAAGTTAAGAGTGGAAGCAGACTTCTTATTCTTTTAAATATGGTACAGTAAGTATATAAAACATATTTTGAATGAATGAATGAGCCAATGCAGAGAAAAATGAGTGGAGATGCACAATAGATAGAATAAATACAGAGTTAGAGTCAGGGAGAAAGATCAGGTTGGAGGCAGAAAATCTATAGCATCAACACAATTCAATCTTGTCATGGGTGAGAACTCTATAGGGGAGTGATGTAGAAAGAGGAGTGCCAAACTCAAAAGACTGAGACTTAGGGAGTCCCCACCACCTAGACAGAGATGAAAAAAACCAGTTAGAACACCAGGTATGGTACTGTCTGCACTTGACAACTAACCTAAAGGTTGCCAGTTTGAACCCACCCAGTGGCGCCATGGAAGAAAGGCCTGGCAATCTACTTCTATAAAGATTACAGGCAAGAAAACCCTATGGAGCAATTCTACTCTGTAACACATGGGGTCGCTATAAGTCGGAACTGACCTGACAGTAACAGGTTTGGTGTTTTTGGTCAGAGGCACAAAAAGGTTACTGCCAATGAAGGTAGGGGAAGAGATTTCAGGAAGGAAATGGTGAATAAACGTATTACATCTCTAGTGCTACAAGAGTCTAAGAAAGATATACAAAATGCAGCTAAGAGTCTGGATGAAACTATAAGGCCTTACTCTTATGTCCAAAGACGCACATGCCCTTCTAGGTGAGGAGAAGCAATCAGGAAAGGCGGTAGTGAGGATAAGAGGCTCATTGAATGAAAAGCTCTCGGTGTTCTTCCCTATTGTGCTGACAATTCTAAGAACAGGGATTTGAGCGGGTTAGGGGGTTTGGTTCAAGGGCAGGGCAGTACTGAGCAACCTTAGATAATTACAGACATGGAAATTGCCTACATGCACAGAACAGCTACCATTGAAATGCTGACTTATATAACCGATCGCAGATGTGGATCCTTGGAGGCAATGCAGACAGAGGAAATGAGTGGTTGTTCTATGTATCTTTACGCCATCACGTTTCCAAAAAGCTGCTAGTGTGCCTTGATAGCCTGGGCCAAAGCTACCACATTTTAAAATTCGTACTTGGAACATTTTTGAGTAGTTGAAAAGTGTTAAAACGGTTCCTAGTCATTATGTAACCCATTTTCCTGCACAGAGAGAACACAAGTACTCAGACTCTACCAGGAAACCCTTTCATCGGTGGCTGCTGGGTTAGAGTAAAAAGCTCAAAATGGATTCAAGACAGATCTGGGCTATAATCCAGCCTCTAATACTAACTGGCCATGTGAATCTGAGGAAGTCACTTTATCCCTAAGCCTCACTATTCCCAGCTATACAATTCTAGAGCAGTCACAGCCTCCAAGGATGGCTGTGAGGATTAACTTAAATAACTTAGTGTAACAAATTGTCCAGGACTGAGACAGTAAATGGTAATTCTCTCATAGAAGAGACAATGTTCAAGGATCCAAAGGCAACTAAACAACTCTTACAGCGGGGACTTCCTTCTGCTCTGCCACCATTTTCTTTGGTATAAAGGGAAAACTCTACTGTTCATGGTAATTTCTTTTAATACTCAGATCCTTTTACTCATTTATAGGTACCTAGGGTTAGATTGGGAACCCCCAATGTGTGCTAAGTGACGTTTTGTTGAATAAATGTATGAATGAGAAATTGTCACCTTTATCATGCTTCAAACTTTTTACACTTAAAAACTGTCAGCTTGAATTTCTAAGAAGAATCTGGAGTTATTTCATTTATTCATAAAATAATAAATATTAATTAGGCATCTAGTGCTTGGCTACTAACCAAAAGTTTGGCTGTCCAAACCCACCCAGTGGCTCCACTGGATAAAGACCTGGTGATCTACTTCTGTAAAGATTACAGCCTAGAAAACCTCAATAAGACAGTTCTATTCTGTCACATGGGGTCTCTAGGAGTCAAAATTGACTCAACAGCAGCTAACGACAACAACATTTAGGTACTCTGTTAAAAGGGGGGATGCAGTGATGAACTAGAGCAGAGGCAGCATTTTCTGTAAAGGGCCAGATAGCAAATAGTAAATATTCTAGGCTCTGCAGTCCATAAGGTCTCTGTCGCAACTACGCAACTCTTTCTACTCTCATACCATGGAAACAGCCATAGACAATGTAACAAATGGCTGTGACTGTGTTCCAATAAAACTTTATTTACAAAAATAGATGGTGAGAAAAAAGTTGAAGGACTCACACTTCCTCAAAACTTACTACAAAGCTAAAGTGATCATTATTGTGAGATACTGGCATATGGATAGACATATATATCAATGGAACAGAGCTGAAGAATCCAGAATTAAACTTATAAATCTATGGTCAACTGGTTTTCAACAAAGGTGCTAAAATCATTGGGGAAAGAATAGTCTTTTTAACAAATGGTCCTAGGACAACTGGATATCAGCATGCAAAAGAATAAAGTTGGACTCCTACCTCACACCATACACAAAAATTAACTCAAAATGAATCAAAGACCTAAATGTAAAAGCTGACACTAAAAACTCTTAAAAGAAGATATACAAGTGGTCAATAAGAAAATAAGCACATACAATGAAGCTCAACAACATTAGTAATTAAAAAAACAAACAAACCCGTTGTCGTTGAGTCAATTCTGACTCACAGGGACCGTATTTCTGACTCATAGGGACCGTATAGGACAGAGTAGAACTGCCCCATAGGGTTTCCAAGGAGCGGCTGGTGGATTCGAACTACCGACCTTTTGATTAAAAGCCGTAGCTTGTAACCACTGTGCCACCAGGGCTCTAAATTAGTAATTAGGGGAATGCAAATAAAAATGTCAATGATATTTTTTTGTTGTTGTTTAACTTAGGTAGGATGTAATCACTAGATTTACATTTTAAAAGGATTACTCTGACTGCAGGATTGATAAAAAGGGGCAGGTGGAAAATTAGAGGCAGGGAGTCCATGAAAAGGCAGATGATGGCTCCAGGCATGAAAAGAATTAGGGAAGTGACCATGGAGAAATAAATGCCTGCTGGAATCTGGCACGAACAGTTAACTTGTTCGACTGCTAACTGAAAGTTTGGCGGTTCAAGTCCACCCCGTGGGGCCTCTGAAAAAAGGCTGGAGATCTACTTCTGAAAGATCATAGCCATTGAAAACCCTATGGAACACAGTTATATTCTGAAACACACAGGGTCACCATGAGTTGAAACTGACGAGACAGCAACTAGTAAAATTCAATTCAGGGCAGGCTTCAGGCAACTAGAAAGTTCCACCCTATAAATGTCTTGCAGCTGTGACTCTGGCCTCCTCCTCAGCCTCTTTCTCATTTCCCTCTCATCTTCACCAGCAAGCTTCATCAGTTATTAACTCAAATGGGGGCGGGGGGCAGGGTTCTCATCACTTGTCCAGCTATGGTAAAACCTGTGAAAGCCAGCACATGTATAAGGCAGAAACTTGCTAGAGAAGGAAAACTCAAATATTTTCCACTAAACTGAGAAATAGAAAAGCAGTAAGACTGCCCCATCAAAGGTGGAAAACTTGCAAGACCTGGAAAAACAAGACAGCTTTTTTGAGTTTCAGCTCTCACAGTTTCACTATATATTCATAATAATAAAAGTGCCCTAAATTTGTCTGGCACTTGGATACTTTTTCCAAGTGCTCAGCAGTAGTTAGAGGGACAGAGCTTGCTTGCCTAGCCTCTTGCTCACCAGCTCTGTCACTCTGGGTGAGTCGCTTTGCCTCACATACCCTGAGTTCCCTTTAATTTAAGGAATAATAGTTCTTCCATCAATAAAGTTGAGGGGACAAATTAGATCAAATGTCTAAAACACCTAGTAGAGTAACTGAAGTGTAGGAAGCTGTTCAATGTATTATAATTACTATAATTTTTCACAATTATTATTTATTCTTCACCACAGTTCCCTGAGTCAGACAGGTCCTGCCAAGGCTTATAGTCCCTAGTGTTCCTTAGGGAATCTGTTCCAGAAAGAAATGATGCAGCTTGAACAAGTCTATCCAACAAGTTCTTAGCAGACGTGCATTGGAACTCATGTCTTCTAAATCTCAATTCCATTCGCTTTCCACTCAACCTGATAAACTTGAACCCTTTTTGTAATTGAAGGATGTGGTTCCTGCAGGGCTTTCCCCAAAACTCTTGCCTCTAAAATTCCCCATTCAGTCTCTTAAAATAAATCTGTACCTTATTGGGCTGTTGGCAGCATCGGGGTCTTTGGCATGTACTCTTCCCACCACAGTGCCAGCGGCTGCATTTTCTTGGACTTCATGGATGTAACTCGGAGCCAAGAACATGGGGGGCTCATCAGCATCTTCTACTGCGATCTTGACCGTCACAGTGTCCTTGAAGGGCCCGTTGCTGATGAACTTCGGGTCGATGTGTACATTGGCAGCCTCCACCTTCAAGCTGTATGCTCTTTTGGTTTCAAAATCTACAGGCTGGCAAGAATGAAGAGAAGATTGACAACCAATACTTTGAAAGAATAACGGAAGAGAAAGCCCCGATTGTTGTATAGGGCACAGTGAATAGTTCCTCAAAGAGAGAAAATCAGTGTCTATTCAATATCCAATTACCTGAGCCATTTGGTCACAAAATCAGATAAATAAATCGCTGAAACTTGGAATGTGCTTTAGCAGGTAATTTTAGGAGCATAACAGATGCAGAGGGTCACAGAGTCCAGAAAGAACCTCACTCTACAGAGCAAGACAAAGGTTGCCCAAATTAAAAGTTGCCAAAGAGAGAGGCTTAAACACAACAAAAATAAATTTGTAGCCCATTCTGTAAAGTAGTAGGAATCTTGGCAATAAAAATACCCGTTGAATTTCAACCAAAGAAAAAAGGTACTGCTTTTTTTCCCCCCCTAAATCTGTCTTAATCATATTGACAAGCTCATTTTCTAAATTCCTGATATTGTAGCACATCCCAAAGTCTGAGGCACTTACAGACTGTGGCTCATAGTATGATTTGAGGTGGTTTATGGGGAATTCTGATGGGCAGGGTTGTTAAATAACATTAACTTACTTTTCAACAGAGTTTTTCCAAGTCTTTTAATCCTAAACACATTAAAAAGAACTTCTCGCTACAGTGTTAATTTTTAACATACCTTTTACATTTACTAACTTCCCTGTTGAGAGACAAAGACACAACTCTCTAGTTAGAATACAGTGACATTATTTTGTTTTGAATGTATTCATTTTAGGTTAGTTTCTGTTTACGGCAAATGATAGGACAATGAGAATAGTAATGCTTCCTTTTTAAAATAATGCATATATATAAGACAAGGCTCATTTAAAGCAAAACAAGTATAATAGTACAGGGTTTACACAAATATGCCAAAAAACCCTTGAAAAGTAGTATTTGAATGACTGCAGTTACTGGGAAATCAATGGTAAATACTCCATAATTTTGAATGTGAGGAAATGCCCTCAGTCAGTCAGCAAAGGGTGAAAAGCAAAATTATAGCAGAGAAACAAGCCCTAATGCCCAAGAAACAGACCTTTCTAATTAGCACTCTGGATGCTGCTGAACTACCAAATGTTTGGAAAGAGTTTGATCTTTTAAGTCGAGCATCTGTCTGCCATGCTGTTGTCATTTTCACTTGCCTGGCAAGCGCTTATTTTGAATGGGCGTATAATGACAGGACTTAGTCCTGACCTCCTTCTACAGAATTCCAGACTGACGATGATTCAAGCTTCAGGAAGGCTAAATGTATTCAAAACCCTTGGATACTTTTTCCATTCTCTTCCCACTCTCGTCTCCCCAGAGTCAGGGAATATTTCCTATTCCCAAAACAAAATCTCTTTCAGCTGCTCCATCGTTCCAGGACTCATCAGCTCCTTTATCCTTGGCGGGGTTACTGGGCAGCAGAAAGGCGTGATATTTACAGGCTGAAGGCACAAGATTGCTGCAATTTCTTAAAAATGTCTGCAGTTACTACACAGGATCTAAAACCTACAATATAACAGGTCTGAGACCAGGTAATCTGTAACAGGAAAAGGAGAAACTTTCTAATCTGAGCTAGTCTGTGGATGCCACTAGAGAAGAACATTTTGAACCTGATTTAGTCATATGCCTAAGAGCAAAATTCCAATTGGAATGCCCCATTGGTGTTCAGGCAAGTAGGGTCATGTTTCCTTCTGACCGATACATTCCAGATCCCAAGCCAGGCTTTCCAGGTCTTTGCAAATGTTTGTCTGTCTGGAATGATGCTTCCCAGCTTGGTGAGATTCTACTAAGCCACCTGGTGGTCACCTCAAGCCTTACTACCTTGTAAAGTCCTTCTCAACTTGGCCAGATAGAATTCTGTGGCTCCTTAGCGCCCCATCTTCAGCCCCTCATCTCACTTCCCTGTTAGGCTGGGAGCATCACAAAGGACTCCACTGAGTCTGGATGATCTCTGCCTCCTTAGTGCCAACGAAAGGAGTCCCTGGGTAGAGCAAACAGTAAAGCTCTTGACTACTAGCCAAAAAATTGGCAGTTCAAACCCACCCAGAGGCTCCTCGGGAGACAGGCCTGGCGATCTGCTTCTGAAAGGTCACAGCCTTGAAAACCTAATGGACCCGTTCTACTCTGCACACATGTGGGTGCTTTGAGTTGGACAGACTCGAAGGCAAATAACAAGTGCCAGAGATAGGCTGCACTAACTGATCACATGTTGTTGTTGTTGCTGTTAGGTGCCATAGAGTCAGCTCTGACTCATACCAACCTTATGTACAACAAAACGAAACACTGCCAGATCCTGCGCCATCCTCACAATTGTTATGCTTGAGCCCATTGTTGCAGCCACTGTGTTGCAGCCACTCAATCCATCTGGTTGAGGGTCTTCCTCTTTTTTTCTGACCCTCCACTCTACCAAGTGATGTCCTTCTCTAGGGACTGGTCCCTCCTGATAACACGTTGAAAGTATGAGACGTAGTCTCGCCATCCTCACTTCCAGTGAGCATTCTGGCTGTACTTCTTCCAAGACAGATTTGTTCCTTCTGCCATTCCACGGTATATTCAATATTCTTTGTCAACACCATAATTCAAAGGCATCGATTCTTCCTTGGTCTTCCTTATTCATTGTCCAGCTTTCCAATGCATATGAGGCGATTGAAAACACCATGGCTTGGGTCAGGTGCACCTTAGTTCTCACACTGACATCTATGCTTTTCAACACTTTAAAGAGATCTTTTGCAGCAGATTTATTCAGTGCAATGCATCATTTGATTTCTTGACTGCTACTTCCATGGGTGTTGATTGTGGATACAAGTAAAATGAAATCCTTGACAACTTCGGTATATTCTCCATTTATCATAACGTTGCTTATTGGTCCAGTTGTGAGGATTTTTGTTTTCTTTATGTTGAGGTGCAATCCATACTGAAGGCTGCGGTTCTTTGATCTTCATCAGTAAGTGCTCCAAGTCCTCTTCAATTTCAGCAAGCAAAGTTGTGTCATCTATATATCGAAGGTTGTTAATGAATCTTCCTCCAATCCTCATGCTGAGTTCTTCATATCGTCCAGCTTCTCAGATTATTTGCTTAGTATAGAGATTGAATAAGCATGGTGAAAGGACACAACCCTGATACACACCTTTCCTGACTTTAAACCACAGTGTCCCCTTGTTCTGTTCAAATGACTGCCTCTTGGTCTAAGTACAGGTTCCTCATGAGCACAATTAAGTGTTCTGGAATTCCCATTCTTTGCAATGTTGTCCATAATTTGTTATGGTCCACACAGTCGAATGCCTTTGCATAGTCAGTAAAACTTTCAGGTATCCTCTGCTTTCAGCCATGATCCATTGACAAAAGCAATGATACCCTTGTTCCACATCCTCTTCTGAATGCAGCTTGAATTTCTGACAGTTCTCTGCAGATGTACTGCTGCAACAGCTTTTGAATGATCTTCAGCAAAACTTTACTTGTGTGTGATGTTAGTGATATTGTTCAATAATTTCCACATTCTGTTGGATCACCTTTCTTTGGAATAGGTACAAACATAGATCTCTTCCAGTTGGTCGGCCAGGTATCTGTCTTCCAAATTTCTTGGCACAGACCAGTGAGCCCTTCCAGCGCTATGTACATTTGTTGAAACATCTTAACTGGTGTTCCTCAATTCCTGGAGCCTTGTTTTTCAACAATGCTTTCAGTAGCTTGGACCTCTTCCTTTAGTACCATTGGTCCTTGATCATATGCTACCTCCTGAAATGGCTGAATGTCAACCAGTTCTTTTTGGTGCAGTGACTCTGTGTATGCCTTCCATTTTCTTTTGATACTTCCTGCATCATTTAGAATTTTTCCTGTGAAATCCTTCAATATTGCGACCCGAGGCTTGAATTTTTTCTTCAGTTTTTTCAGCTTGAGAAATGCCGAGCATGTTCTTTCCTTTTGGTTTTCTAACTCCAGGTCTTTGCACATTTCATTATAATACTTTGTCTTCTTGAACTGCCCTTTGAAATCTTCTGTTCAGCTCTTTGACTTCATCATTTCTTCCTTTTGCTTTTGCAACTCCAAGTTCAAGAGCAAATTTCAGAGTCTCTTCTGACATCCATTTTGATCTTTTCTTTCTTTCCTGTCTTTTTAATGACCTTTTGCTTACTACATGTATGATGTCCTTGATGTCATTCCACTACTTCTCTTTGGTCATTAGTGTCCAATGCGTCAAATCTATTCTTCAGATGGTCTCTAAATTCAGGTGGGATACACTCAAGGTTGTACTTTGGCTCTGGTAGACTTGTTCTAATTTTCTTAAACTCCAACTTGCATATAAGCAATTGATGGTCTATTCCACAATTGGCAACTGACTCTGTTCTGACTGATGATATCGAGCTCTTTCCACAGATGTAGTTGATTTCCACATTGTCTCTTTCCACAGATGTAGTCGATTTGATTCCTGTGTATTCCATCTGGTGAATTCTACGTGTACAGTCCTGTTTATGTTGTTGAAAAAAAGGTATTTGCGATGAAGAAGTCATTGGTCTTACAAAATTCTATCATTCTCTCTCCAGCGTTATTTCTATCACCAAGGCCATATTTTCCAACTAGAAATCCTTCTTTTGTTTCCAACTTTTGCACTTCAATCACCAGTTATTATCAATGCATCTTGATTGTGTGTTTGATCGATTTCAGACTGCAGATGTTGGTAAAAATCTTCAATTTCTTCATCTTTGGCCTTAGTAGTTGGTACATAAATTTGAATAATGGTCATATTAAACAGTCTTCCTTGTAGGCATATGAATGTTATTCTGTTACTGACAGTGTTGTACTTCAGGATAGATCTTGAAATGTTCTTTTTGAAGATGAACACGACGTCATCTTCAAGTTGTCATTCCCTGCGTAGTAGACCATATGATTGTCTGATTCAAAACGGCCCATACCAGTCCATTTCAGCTCACTAATGCCTACGATACTGATGTTTTTGTGTTCCATTTCATTTTTGATGATTTCCAATTTTCCTAGATTCATACTTCCTACATTCCACGTTCCTATTATTAATGGATGTTTGCAGCTGTTTCTTCTCATTTTGAGTTGTGCCACATCAGCAAATGAAAGTTCTGAAAGCTTGACTCCATCCACTTCCTTAAAGCTTGATTCCATCCATCTCCTTAAAGTTGACTCTACTTTGAGGAGGCAGCTATTATCCAGTGGCCTTTTGAGTGCCTTCTAACCTGAGGGGCTCATCTTCTGGCACTATTATCATACAATTTTCTGCTGCTATTTATAAAGTTTTTACTGGCCAATTTTTTTTTTCAGAAGTAGACTGCCAGATCCTTTTTCCTAGTCTGTCTTAGTCTGGAAGCTCAGCTGAAACCTGTCCACCATGGGTGATCCTGCTGGTATTTGAATACCTGTGGCACAGCTTCCAGCATCACAGCAACATGCAAGTCCCCACAGTATGACAAACTGACAGACGAGTTGGGGAGTCATCACATGCATCCATGATTTTGACTGAGTGGGGAGGAGGGCTGATGGATAGATAACATTTAAGTATTTACCTGCAATTTATTCCCTGCCTCCTTCCAAAAAATGGTTTGTGGTAGTTTCCTATATGAACACTTATATCCATGTTATGGGTACAGGCAGGCCCTGGGATATGAACACCAATTTACGGACAGCTCATACTTGCCCTTTAATGTTATGTAATTTGCCCTCACTTTGAAAGGACTGAACCAACCCCTACTCACAACAAATTCTTCATCACAATCACCTTCACTTGCTGCACATGCAGCTTTTAAATCATTTAAAAGGCTTTGAGTATTTTCTTGCACTAACCAAACCCGCTGCTGTCAATCCAACTCGTAAGGACCTTATAGGACAGAGTAGAACTGTCCCGTAGGGTTTCTAAGGAGCAGCTGGTGGAGTCAAACTGCCAACCTTTCGGTTAGCAGCCAAGCTCTTAGCCACTGTGCCACCAGGGTTCCTCTCGCACTAAATAAGAAACATACGCACTTGTTCCGACTTACCTACAAATTCAACCTAAAGACTTAAAGATACAGAACAGATCTCATTTGTAACCGGTAGACTGCTTGTAGTTGAAATAAAGCTAAATGAGGCAACACATTGCCTAAGCCATAAAGATCTCAATGCCCCCTAATTTACTAATCCCACCTCTGAAAATTCTCCCTGAGGGATTATTTCAACAGAAAACCAAAACAAACAATATTCAAAAATGCCTAATGTTCGTTAGATATAATAGAGGGTTCTATTTAATCGGGGAAAATGTACACACCAGACACCAAATCCAACTGTGAGATTTTATTAAGGAAATAATGGTTCATCAAGAGGACAGGATGTTATGTAGTCATTAAAAATGTTTATGTCTATTATGTAACAGCATGTAAAATGTTTAGGATATGACATTACATTAACAAATCAGACTGCCCTATGATTGCAACCCTGCGAAATGTTAGGTATCCACATTTATATGCAGGTGGACAGAGAATAAAAGTAAATAATCAGACATAGAAATTATGTTATTAAAATATGGAATTTGGAAATATTTCTTTTAAAATGTCCTCTAATGAGCTCTCACATTGCTTTACAGTTTATTTGGTTAAAATAAATAGTTCAGAGAGTAGGGTGCTAGTGATTTCTCTGGAATAGACTGGTGTCCTACTTGGTCAAGAGTGTGGTAGCGAACAGACTGGATTTGCATCTCTTTTTGTATCCCACCCCCTCTACCAAAAAAAAAAAAAAAACATTTCTGTTGAGTCAGTTACGGCTCACAAAAAAAACCCATCCCATTGCCATGGAGTCGATTCTGACTCATAGCCACCCTATAGGACAGAATGGAACTGCCCCATAATGTTTCTAAGGAGTGGCTGATGGATTCAAACTGCTGACCTTTTGGTTAGCAGCCAAGCTCTTAACCATTGCACCACCAGGGGTCCTTACTACCCACAGGCCCCTCAAAAGTCTTGTATTTATTTTGCACTGGTTCCTCTTCAACTAAACACAGAGATTGTCTGAATACCCCGAGGGCAGGTTGTCTCTATTTTGTTCACCATCATATCCCTGGCATACTAAAATATTAAGTAAATGAATGATGTTAGTTCCTAACTCATGAATTATTTTTATTCACTACCATCCCACTACCTCTTCTACCTTTCTCAATTCCTTGTAATTTATATCTTGAATTTCAACAACAGTTCCCAACTGGCCCCACTGTACCCATCTTATCACCCTTAAGACTGAACACACTGCAGTTTCCTAAATGACCCCTATTTCCATTGATACCAGCCTTTCATGAGTTCATTTATTCTGGCTGATCTACCCTTTCTCTCCTTATTTATCTGGCAAAATCCTACTCATCCATCAACAGTCAGCTCAAGAATTGCCCCCTCTAAGAAGGTGTCCATGTTACTGGTATCAGTAGCATGGCTAAACATCCTACAATGCACAGATCAGCCCCATACAATAAGAAATTATCTACTCTGAAATTCCAGTAGTGCCAAGGCTGAGAAAGCCTGCTCTATTTTAATTCTTTTCACTTAATTGTCCCATTAAATAGAGATCACCCTATGACCCGGATTGTCTCTTCAACTTTAGATTTCCAGGACCTTAGAAAGGGCCTGCAAATAAGTACTCAATAACTCTTGCTTCAAAAATAGGTAAATGAATTAAGAAATCAATGGAAATATTATATTAAATAATATTTTTAAAAGATGAGAAATACTTCCATGCTATCTCCATAGCTTTTTCTACTATTAAACTATATATATTGATTTCCACAAGGATTCATCACTTTCCTCTGTTAAATTTACCTCTCAATATTTTGGGGAACATTTGGAGCTTTGTGCTACAGGTTTAAGCCAATATTCTTTACAAATGAAATAACATCTTACCCCTGCTTTAAACCTAAATGTCAGTACTTTACAGAAGATTATTCCTTTGCCTGGAATAAACGGATTGAATCGGGGAAATGTGCAAATTAATCATATGCAGAGAGCTCATTTGCGATGTGTGAATTCCATGGGGTGATTTAAATGTTTCAGGATTTTAGAGACACAATGTGTGTTTACGCCCTGAATACTCTGAAAACAGGTGACAACCTCAGCATAACCAACTACCTAATTACGCCAACAGCAAAGGAGGGGAGGAAGAAGTCGCTGATGTCAATCCTCATATGTAAACGTCAAGCAGGAGGGATAGTAATATTAATTAATGAGGTACTTTGACAGCTGTATGCTACACACGATTCACAGCTACTTCTCCTAAGGAGAAACCAGAACGAATAACTACCCCAGCCCCTTGCTGCTGATGATTAGGTTGCCTCCGTCACATCATTCATCGTCACTAATGCTGGCTTTTCTAAGTCTCCAAAGTTCATCCCAACCTCTATATCCTTCATTTTCTTTATTCTTTTATAACAGTGTCACCCTCACCATCTCAGTTCCATGTCTCATAATATTTCTCCCAAATCCAACATAGCTTTCCAATTGTCTGAAAGGTCAGCTTCCTAGAACACCTTCTTCCTTGCTCCCCTGACTGAAAAGTTCCTCCCAGTACCTGCCTCCTCCCACCTCACCCTCAGCCTCCTCTCCAGCTCCTGGCCTCTTCACTGATTCTTCAAATTAATCTTTTATCAGTGTTACAGTCCAATCTTTTCCATTGCACCAAGGAGCTTAATATTCATGTGACAAAACCAAGTTGAAAATGAATGCCTGATTAAAACCAAGGTAATCCCATCACCTAATTCAGATTTAATGCTCCATACACTTTGATGATGGAGAGGTGTTGATTTCTCAAGTGGGGAATCAGGGGGAAAACCATTTTTCAAGTACACTGTAACTCTTTCTTCACTTGAAAGTGAATCCTAGCCAGCTCTCCTTTATAAACCATTACTGCCGCAGCTGTTTCCAAAATGTCTTGATAGAGAAGTTGTTCCATAATACCCTAGGTTTGAATTCCATGCTTGCGGATTGTTAGCTCTCTGGCTACGACTGAGTAAACTGTTTAATCTGCCTGAGCCCCAATCTCCTCATAACTCAGTTGAGGTATTATTGCCCTTTGAGGTAAGAAAATCTATTTTATATGATTTTTATTAAAAAAGTAAATTAGAGGATGTTTGTAAGAGACTCAGGCTGTGTCTGGCCAAGAGTTAGTATTGAGTAAATGTTAATTTTTTTAATGGTTGTAAATATATATGCACACATAATACAACATTAGTCAATTTAACATTTTTCACTATAATTTAGGGACATCAATTCCATTAATGATGTTGTGCAACCATTGCCAATATCTTCTGCAGAATTTCCATCACCATAAACAGAAACTCAATGCTTCGTAAACAATGCTCCCCCTCTCCCCTTCCCTCACATCCCTGATAACCACTAATAAACTTTGGTCTCTATAAAACGTTAAAACAAAACAACAGCAAATAAGAAACTTTATCTTGTAATGGATGCAACTCAGGAACACATTTTTAGTGACAGTCTAGCTGCTTATGGGGGAAGGTCCCTTATTGTCATTTCCCCAGGTTCAGTTTTTAAAGAAAAGCAGGCAAAAATATGGTTTATATTTAACAGAGGTACTAGTAATGCAATGGACCTTGGATGCTTGAGATAGGGAAATTTCTGAGTAGCCTATATGAACAGACTCAGCTTGGTAGAGCTAAAGTGAGAACTCCACCCACACTCAGGGCTGTTTCTCCAAAATTCCAGGTTTATCTAGCTGTTCTTCCTCCCATGGGAAATTCATGCCAGGACATACAAGAACTAAGCAGCAATGTCAGCCAGGCCTGGTCAGCACCTCTGGCCAGCTCCCTGTGCAGTTACAGAGAGGAGTACAATTCTGTTACTTCCCCAGTGCTCCACTGCAAGATCAGAAAAGCCCCCAGGTACCCACAGTCCCATTTCTTAACTTTCAACTCCCAGTCTCCTGCAGTGTCCCCTTGGTAGAGCAGACCACACTACTGACAGGTCTGACTCTTTACCCTAACTCACCTTTTTCAGCTTCACCACGCCCTCCTGGGTCTCATAGTCCGTTGTGATTTCAAACAATTCCATACCATCTCCATCAACAATATTGTATGTGACTAAGCCATTTTCTCCAATGTCTGGGTCTTTAGCCTTCACTCTTCCTACTTCCTCCCCTGGGACAGCTGCTTCTGACACAGACATCTGGTATACGCCTAAAAGAAGAAGACATCTATTTTTTATTTTCTCTTTTATTTGGCAGCTGTAAGACCTTAGATTTCATTGAATTCCAATAAATTTCTCAAAGGGTTTGCAATTGAACTTTCTATTGATTGAAAGCATGAAAGAAATGAATGGATGGGAGGAAGATCCCACACGACCTGCTTGTCAAAGGAATGTATTCTACAAAGGAAGATGAAGCAATAATGGGGTGTCGGTGAGATGGTGGGGTCACCTGTCACATGTTGGAAAGGAAGACAATGCTCAGGCACATTCCCCAGCAGTAAAAGATGGAGACCCATGTATGCTTTCATACGTTCAAATAGTTGAGACCTCTTTTCATGTTTCCAGGATGTTTCAGGACTTAATTTCCAAGGCTCACTATGGCAATGCCAACCCAAAAACCAAATCCATTGCTGTCAAGTCAATTCCGATTCAGAGCGACCCTATAGAACAGAGTAAAACTGCCCCATATGGTTTTCGAGGCTGTAATCTTTAAGGAAGCAGACTGCCACATCTTTCTTCCATGAAGCAGCTGGTGGGTTCAAACTGCTGACCCTCTGGTTAGCAGCCAAGCGCTTAACCACTGCACCACCAGGGCTTCTATGACACTGCCAGGTACTCAGAAACAACCCTTCTCTGTTTAAAAGCCTTGAATAGCTCCATATTAATTTTAAGATAAAATGGAAATCATGTCTTTCAAGGTCATGCTCCATCTAATTCTGTATTTGACGTCGCTCTTATTCTACATCCTTCACCACTCCACCAAGCATCACTTTATCTGGAAAGGTCTCCCACAGTGTGGCCCTTCTATATATATATGTACATATACATATATATACAATATATGTAAGTATATATAATATATACAAATATATATAATATAAATATATGTAATATATAAATATATATATATACTATATATACATATAAATAATATCTGTGAAGAACCTACTATGCATCATACACTGTTCCAGTTCCTGGAGATTTAATAGTAAATTAAACAATCAAGATTCCTCTTGTAATGAGGCACATTAGAAAAATAATAAATAAACAATGGGATACACATCTGATGTCATTGCTAGGAGGAAGAAAAATAAAGGAAGGTAAGGGGTATGAAGGTGGCGCAGGACTGGGCAATGTTTTGTTCTGTTACACATAAATGCCCTGAATTGGAGCTGACTCAATGGCAACTAACAAGGGGTAGAGGGTAATGAGAGAGAGAGTAAGTGTTTGATTGTATGTGTAAGTGCAGGATTGCAAGTGTGAGTGTGATGGTGTATGTGTGAAAGTGTGGCTGAGTGTGTGTGAATGTGTATGGGCATCTGAGTGTGTGAAGGGGATAGCGCATCTTTGAATATTTATGACTGCATATGTGTGTGCAAGTGTGTGTATGAATGTATGAGGTGTGTATCCGTGTATGTGTGAGTATGAGTATGAGTGCACATGAATGTCTCTGTTTATATTAAACATGTGTGTGTATGTGTAAGAGGGAGAGGGAGAGAGGAGACTGATTTTGAAGGGAGCGGTCAGAGAAGACATCCTTCAGAAGCAATCATCCGAACTCCCCTGATGGGACTAGGAAAACAATCATGTGACTATCTGAGGGATAAAAATTACAGGCAGAAGGAACAGCAAATGGCAAATATCCTGAGATGGGAACATATTGGGTGATTTCACAGACTAGCAAAAAGCTACCTGTGACCGGAGCTTTGCAAAAAGCTACCTGTGACTGGAGCTTTGCGGAAGCATATGTAGGTAGTTTGGGGCTCGACTGTAAACGAGAGCATTGTCAGAGATGGAAAAGACTTTGGGTTCTTTTAAACATGGTGTGAAGCCATTGGAAGGTCTTCAGTAGAAGAGTAAGATTATCTCATTCCCATTTTCACATTTTAAAAGTATTCTGTGTGAAACAGAATATAGTGAAGCAAAGGCCAGAAAACTTGCCTCTCCTACTTCCGGGCTAAGCGGTCTTGGGCAAGTTACTTAATCCCTTTTAGTTTCCCCTAACATAGATTTTGTCTAAATTTATGCATGTTATTTGACTTCGAATACTTTCAGTTTGGACCCATATTCAACTTAATCTCACCATGCCCTCCATATTAAAGGACTGATAGGAGGTGGAAGTCTCTCTCTGTAGATAATCCCCAACTTACATTAAGGTTTGAAAAAACCTGCGTTAAGCTGATTTTCTTAAAATCCTATTCAAGTTCAAGGCTGTGAAACTGGTATCTGCACAGCAGCAATGTAACTTTACTAAATGATATATAGTATATGAGCAAGAGCTATAATGGCTGCCTGCTGTTAATCTTGCCTGGTCTTTTCCTTCTATGTACCACACAGCTTCACAGTGTGGATAATGGAGTACGCCATTTTTCAGAGTGCTATGTGAGCCTTAAGCTTACTGGTGTACTCAACTTTGTGCCTCACTAGGCAAAGCACTCTTTCTCCATTTCTTTTGGGACATTATGAGAACTGGTATTTGCCTCATA